ACTTGCTTTTACTTATAGTTCTAACTATACTGTTATAATAGTTTGGGGGCACCACACGTGTGCTGACTTCCCGCAAAATGACTTTCATTAGTTTTCCAGCTTATTTCTGCATAAAAATATAAAATGGTGGGGATATTTATTTCAATAACCTAATTTTTGGCGCGCGATTACTAAAATGCGAAATATAGCTAATGGGAAACAAGATCTGTCCACTAGTATCCACACATTGTACACAATCGTATAGCGACTATGCATCACTGCCAAGTGATGGACGTACGCTTCTGGGAAGGAAAACCAATCGGACAAAGGTAACAACAATGGGCAGCGGTGAGCATGTCCATATGGGACTTGTTACAAATGTAAGTAAGAAGACAAGTCCATTTACCATGCCTATTTTAGGAAATAAGATAGCAAAATACTCAGCTATTGATGGAGTACCATTATATCGGAAAGGTAAGTGTGAGTTTTGGCCACTTAACCTTGTCACTCGCTATTATGTTACGTATAGTTACCTAAGTGCTAATTTCCTGATTTCGTTCTTTTAGATATACCCCGAAACCAGGATGACGACGAGGCGCCAGGGCCGTACGGACTACCAGCGCCGTCTATGAACTCTACAATGATGTCTTCTGGTAACCAAGAATTCTAAACACCGGCCAAAGAGAACTTTTTATCATTTTTGTACCCTAATATGGTTAAGCCCGTTTTTAATATTAATAGATGCATTCTACTCAACAAACAGTCTTCAAAAGAGTACTATTTCGCTACATTTCAAAAAAACTGGGGGTTTTGGCAGGTGAGAAGGTAACCCTGTCCGGATGAAAAATGAATTTCGATTTTTCGAACTACAAGCACCATAATGCGAGCTGGATTGGAGCGCGTTTTTTTTCGAGCTCGTTTCGAGCTCGAACAGGCGGTAAAAACGAGCTCGATTCGAGCTCGATTTTTCGAATTAACGAGCCCGAAACGAGCTCGTTTTGCTATTAGGGTTATCGAATATATGAGATTGGAGTACAATCATGTAAGATAGGTTTTTTATCATATTTTTTTAAACTTGCAATAGCTTCTAATGCATTTACACAGAATGTAGACATGTCGCCAAAAAATAGAAGTGAAATAAACTAAGACCAAAACAACTTAGCTAAATTAAGGTTTGCGAAAGTAAACTAAAAACGACATAAAAAAATAATAAACTAAAACTAAACGAAACTAAACCTACTAAGACTAAAAGTGACCACAGAACGCTAGAGAATTCCTTGAAGGGAGTGCAGTTTGTGTTTGGATTGGGTCATACCTCTTTTATGAATAAACATGCTTACTAGCACGAAGTACGTAGGCACTTATGCGGAGTACTCGTAATGTGCCCGAAAGCAGACTTTCAGTTATAGCAATGCGCCTTTCCTCCAAATATGCTAGATGTTTTGAAACTTCCGCGAAGGGAGTCAAAATCCTTAATTTTTTGTGCGCATTCTGTAGGGCAGTGCGTTTTCTTTAAGCTGTTACAATATACAGGACTGAATTTTTACAGTTGTGAGTGGATGCAAAAACGTAAGAATCTTGAACAGGTTATCTCGGGCGTATTTGTGCAATTTACAATACGCAGGCCTACTACAGCTGTTTGTAAAGCATCCGTCGTGATTTAAATCCGGTTCACTATCACGTGAGGTTCTGAGTACGTCGTCATGAGGATGCAGAACGATGTCTAGGTAAGAGATTGAAATGTAAGTTTTTTAATACAAAAATGTTCTTAACCTTTAATCCCCATATTTCAGCCTAAAATTTCCTACCAAGGGAGAACAGGACATTGAATTTTATAAAAATGCAAAGGGAATCGCAAATTTACTGTGGAATGATGGCAACAATAGACTATTCAAGTCATGATCTTTTCCCAAACACTACTGGACAAAGGGTACTGCTTAGCTTGAGATTGGTCCCCTTGACAATCAGATTTACAAGCTCACACCAGCAGTTCGTTTTGATTTAAAAAAAGATCGAATGGTTCTGTAAGTGTTCCGAGGAGCTTTGTGCCTGTTGGGATTGGGTTGCTTTGGAGAAAGTGATTTTGCCAGGGACATCGGATCTGCGCTCTTCGGATAATGTGCATTTTTAGCCAACCATTTTGTAACTTAGCCCTAGAGGCAATAAATGTCTCTCTTTCTTTGACAGGAAACACTTCCGCAAGGCTATGTTATTAAGGACCATCAGTTAAATCACCATTTTCTAATAGAAATAGTGCGGGTTAATTCAAAGTAACAATGTAGGGTTAAGTGACGCGTTGCGAAACGTTTTGCGCAAAAATAAAGGAAGGAACGATTAATATTTCTGAGGACAACGACGTGGAAGAATACGAGGGGTGAGTGGTTTTTAAAACATCGTACTTGACTACGTTTTCCACCGAAGCTAGCAAAAGATTTGCGGTGCTGTCCCAATGGAGGTTTGTCACTGATCCTCCTGCGTTGACGAAGGGCTGGAGGTCCTCTTCTCCATGAAACTATGGATCAAGAAAACAGTATTAGGCAGCAAACAACAAATTAAAGGATTATCAGAGAGAATTAGAGGCCCACAGTTACTATCTGGCGGCGGACCAGGAAAGCTTTGTGTCGACACCTCGAAATTATACTTAACTCCCATGTTTAAATATAAACTGTCAGTGACCTAGAGGCACGTGGTTAACATACCTGGCCTAAGGTCGACTGGATTTAGACATGGGCATTGCTAATTGCCAATAACCGTGTGCCCCAGCTTTTTTCTGCACTTTAAGTAATTTCCGAGCTGTACTAGGGCACCAAACATAATTGGAGTTCCGAGAACTGAACTGAGGGTAATAATCACTGAATTTGCGAGTAATGCTACAACATGATCTTAATATACATTTAATCGTTACTTATTATTAGTAAGTAGTCTTGATTGGGTGAATTAGTTGGCTTACCCAGAAGCGAATGCCCTCGTCTTCAGACGCTGAGAAAAGGGTCGGGTTGGATGACGTTTCGAGCTCCGCCCAACAAATCGCATTAACTTCGTTGCTATGTCCACGAAGTATGCGGACTGGTTCGTCAAAGTGGGCCAATGTTTTGCCAAACGTTTGCAAATACACCTGGCTATTGGCGCTGCAGTAGGCTAATGTACGACTAAACGAGAAGGGAAGATGGCGAATAAATCTTGAAATAAGCTCAAATTTACCTCTCCACGTGATAATCCAGACCCAATATTGCATTCTCCTTCGCATTGTCTTTATTCACTGCTTCTTCGTCATCCCTCCCTAGCGATTGACCTTCTGTGTATCCCATTGAGGCCTCGATTGCTCTGACAAGGTTGCCGCGAGGTAGGCGCCAAAAACACAGTCGTTGATCCCAGCCACTCGTTATCTACAGAAAAAAAACCGTGCCATGTCCTGAGCAGTTTCGGTACTTACACAAAACTCAACAGTTCATCAGATTAGATTTAGTTCAAGTCATCTTATATTGAGAGGAGGAAGATTCCATTACTGGGACAACACTTTTATTCGCATGAATTTTCGACATCCGTTGCGGATTCTTCATCAGAGACCTTGACTACGCCCCTTTCCCCCACCTTCAGCCGACAGAGCCTACGCCATCAGACACGATACCCCTTGGGTAATGTCACGCACACCCATCTCAGAACACATGAACCTGCTCTGCAATCCTACTTA